TAAGCAATAATATTTATATTTCGTTAACATTAATAAACTTGGTAAACGAAATTCACCGACTTACTCCGAGATCTACCAATAACAAAGAACAGTGAACGCTATTGAGGATCGATCATTTTATGCTCATGCATAACAATAAAGCGAAGACTATATTATTCCAATGTTTGTAGACAACTGTTTTTTGTAGACAAATTGACACGAATTGAATTAGAGATTGTTGCACTTCAGTTTCAACAACAAAAACATAACATTAGAACTGAGCTCAGTTCAACTACAGCGGGACGAACTATAACCTTGCTTTCACTATCTCGCGTTATCTTATAAAAATGCACACGTGTAATAGGCGATGCATTTTTCCGTGATAACGTTATCACTTGCAGCGAGATAACAGTGACGGTCGGGAGTCATCTATACACCATTAATGGCCACATGACACATTAAATTACTCCTTTAATTGATCTATATAAGAATTTGTTATTCGTTATTTTTTATTTTACTTGTGTACTCAGAAATAGAAACCACGGTTTTTAGGTTAAAATTGACACCTTGAGAAATGTCTGTTGAATAACTTCACAAACGCAGTTATCAGTCAAGTGGTGATTTATTTGAACTGTTTTTAGCGAATTTCCCATATAGGGAATAAGCTATTACCGTAGTACTCACGGTAAGACCTGGACCCGGGACCAATTTTTTTTTTCGTTTTGAGGTCCCTAGAGGTCAAAAACACCATCCGTTCAAATTCATATATATATATATATTTATATATATATATATGTGTGTGTGTCCGTTAGCGCGATAACTCGAGCAAAAATGATCCGATTTTGATGAAATTTGGTACAAACGTGTAAACCTACGTTTATTCAAACGAGTTCGCGAACCAGCATGATCGGACCATGGGAACGGGGGTTTATGGGGGCTTTTATGGGGTAAAAATGGGTTTTTCCCATTTTTGACCCAAAAAACATAAAATTTTGCAATTTCTTTCGAAACTATTTTGTAGAGCTTAAAAAAACAAATAATTTAGTATATTGAAGCGTTATAATGCGCCTAATGGTTACGGAGAAAATTCCAAAAAATTGTAAATTTAAAATTCCCATGCTATTCTTATGGAGAATAAGTAAACTGTTGTAGTTTGCTTGTTTATAAACATATTTTGCCCAAATTTGAAAAATGTTTTTATTTCTTACTAACTATTAACATTTTACATAAAAAACACTTTTACCCTCCCTGTTGCAGCAAACCTAAGTATGTTTTAAACTGATTCTATTTAAATAGGGAATAAATGTGATATTTTTAAAGATACATTTTAGTGTAAATCCATTCAGGGAAATGGAAATTCGCTTAGTCTGCAGGTTTGCTGCGGCGGGGGTATTATTATGCACTAGCTGTTGTATCCGTGTTTCGTAACGGGAAGAGGACAACATAACAATTTTAATCTTTATAACACTTTTACATCGGTTGTTTCATAGAGAAAAAGCATTAAATATATACTGTCAATTGTTCTGCGGTTACCATGGTTAACATAGGTTCTGGCGCACACCGCTGGGAGCGCCACGCCGTGCAGTTACGTAGCGCCATAGGGGGCATTCACTTCACACGAGCGATTGGGTAGTCCCGCTGCAGCTCGCATTCTTTACTCTTCTTTATGCATACTTTACGCATTGTACTCCATAAACTCCCGCTAGTCCCACGCCCAAAGTCCGATCACGCTGTTTCGCGAACTCGTTCAAATAAACGTATACACACGTTTGAACCTAATTTAATTGAACGCGGGCGATTCTTACTCGAGTTACCCTGCTATGCTAACCATGCTAACGGACACAGCCCACACACACAAACGCACATTCGCTAAAGTCACGTAGGCCTAAATGCATTAACCTTCAGAAAATAAAAATGTTAACTAACATATACAGTAGCACCAACTATCCACTAGGACGCTGATAAGCTGAAAATGTTAACCAACAGATACAGTACAGTAGCACCAACTATCCACTAGGACGCTGATAAGCTGAAAATGTTAACCAACAGATACAGTACAGTAGCACCAACTATCCACGGGAGCGTTTCATAAACTCCAAATTTCACAAACTCCAACGCTTAAAATATTAAATAAACAGAGCGGTTCATAACCTCCAAATTTCATAAGCTCCAAATCTATAACATTCAAATAATCACTGTTTCACAATGTCCAAGTTTCACAAACTCCAACGTTTAAATATTAAATAAACAGAGCGATTCATAATGTCCAAATTTCATAACCTCCAACGGTACAGTCTGGGCCAGAAGTCTCTCTAGTGGTTGCCACAGTCAGATAGCAGGCACCGTTCGCCAGCGCTCAACTACTGATTATACGTACATTTTAGCGAATTTCCCTATAGGGAAGTAGCTATTACCGTAGGTGGCATGGTAAGACCTAGGTGCGGGACCGATTTACTTTTTTCATTTTGATGTCCCCAGAGGCCAAAAACACCATTCGTTCAAATTTTTATATATGTATATATATATATATATATATATAGATATATATATAGATTTATATATATATATATGTCCGTGAACACGATAACTTGAGTAATTTTTATCCGATTTTGATGAAATTTGGTTTGAAGGTGTAAGGCGGGATAAACTTGAATGAGTTCGCGAACCAGCATGATCGGACCATGGGAACGGGGTTTTACGGGGGGTTTTATGGGGTAAAAATTGTTTTTTCAAATTTTTGACCCTACAAACGCAAAATTTCCCAATTTCTCTTCAGACCTTCTTAAAGGGCTTAAAAAAACAAATAATTTAGTATATCAAAGTGTTTTTGTACTATTATTAGTAACGGAGAAAATTCAAATAATTGTTATTTTAAAATTCCCATGTTATTCTTATGGGGAATATTGTAAAATGTTGTAGTATGCTTGTTTATGGATATATTTTGATCAAACTTGGTAAATTATTTATTTTATACTAAGTTATTAATATTTCTCTAAAAAACACACTTTTTTACCCTCCCTGTAGCAGCAAGCCTATGTACTCATAAAAATGAATGTTAATTAAATACATTTAATTGAAAATCAATTCAGGCAACTGGAAATTCGCTTAGTCGGCAGGTTTGCTGCGGCGGGGGTATTAATGATTGAAGAACACTCAGATGTGTGACTCAAATATGTGTTAGCACACAATGTGCAAATCAAATTTACATTTTAGCGAATTTCCCCTATAGGGAATAAGCTATTACCGTAGTAATCATGGTAAGACCTGGTCCCGGGACCGATTTACTTTTTCGTTTTGAGGTCCCTAGAGACCAAAAACACCATCAGTTATATATATATATATATATATATATATATATATATGTGTGTGTCCGTTAGCGCGATAACTCGAGCAAAAATCATCCGATTTTGATAAAATTTGGTACAAACGTGTAAACCTACGTTTATTCGAACGAGTTCGCGAACCAGCATGATCTTGTGATTCTTGTGACGCTACTATACAGTTTTTTGCTGTGCAAAATAAAGATGATTTGATTTATTATTTGATTTGATTTGATCGGACTATGGGAACTCTTAAGAATATATACTTATACTCTTAAGAAAGCAATTACGGAGCAACAATGATACTTCGTGTTACACCGCTACAACAGTAGAACGTGTAGCGCCTACATACCGAACCACGGCAACATCTGCAGCGACTTCTGGCAGAGACTGTACCGTTGGAGCTTATGAAACTTGGAGGTTATGAACCGCTCTCTTTATTTGATATTTAAACGTTGGAGTTTGTGAAATTTGGACATTGTGAATCGGTGATTATTTGAAAGTTATAGTTTTGGAGTTTATGAAATTTGGAGGTTATGAAACGCACTGTTTATTTAATACTTTAGACGTTGGAGTTTGTGAAATTTGGACATTATGAACCTCACCCCTATCCACTAGGACGCTGATAAGCTGCAAATCACTTTTCAGCCGATTGAGACTTCCATCTTGTTATCAGTGACGACGTTATCTCATTCCACAACTTACATAAACCAGCAAACTTCCTCATCACCATCACTCGACACTCGACCTACAACATTCTTTATTACTAGTCAATGGATTCGTAAATCACGTGTTATTACGACCACTTAGTTGTACACGTTATTAATCTTAAAGATTTTCATTTACTATGGAATTTGTATTTGGTACTCAGATAAAATGTTTAAAAGTTGATTCAGAGTTCCGAAACCCATGTGTGTAACTACATTATACATTTCTTTATCGTAAATGGTGGTACCGAAATGAAATCCCATATTTTGCGTACACACTGGATGTAGAACCGAGACATTGCTAAAGTAAAAGAAGTCACTTAATTACGGACGTGTTAATAAACTTATGCTATAAAAGAACTTAGCCTGATCAAGAGAGTGGGCAGCTGAACAGTGAACGTCTTCGACATTTTGCTTTATTTCTTCTTATCGCTGGAACTCTTGAACCATTTACTGATTCCTTCTTTTATGACCAGGATATAAAATAGTCCAGCTATAACTTTATATTTCGTACACTAGACTGTTGTGCTTATTGTGATTGAAACCTTGGCTGGAAGAGATACGGTTTTACATTTTTATTAAGACTTTCTTTACTATTCCAGTTTGTTTTTATTATTTTTTAAATACGTATATAAGTTTATTATTAAAATTATTAAATAAGTAAGTACGGTACCTAATGGTAATAACGAATTAAGAGGATTTAAGTTTCTATAAACGTTAATGTTCATCAGTCATCAAAAATAGTTATTATTCACTTAATATTTAAACTATAAATAACGTTTTCCATCATAGTTTAATGCCAATTTTACAGTTTATAGATATGCGTACATGATAGCTTGGTTAACATTAACAAGTTTGCAGATCATAGACATACTTACCTAGATGATAGATTGATTCACATGAGTTAGCAGTTCATGGACATGCCAACATGATAGCTTGGTTTACATTATTGAGTTTATTTGCAGTTGCTACATGATAGTTTGTTTTTTTTCAGCAGAGCCCAAGGGTGCTGGTGCCAGGAGATTACGTCAAACATGATGATCTCAAACCTGCTTCTCCATCCAGTGTGTACTCCGATGACAAGTCCAGTCTTTCAGGGTCCGTCGACACATAAGTCGTACAGATCTGTCTGTCCTCCGTCATTCGACTAGTCATCCACACTGTGTACCCTGCATGCGACATGTTGCTACTTGCTACACTCCATCCTCCACATGAAAACTCCTGGCAAATATTATCTCAATGGATGTAACAATTTAGTAGTCATGAATAGACTTTCATCTATTGATTTTTCAATATTATAAGTGGATAAGATAAAAGTTTAAATATTTTAACTACGTTGTAAAATGTACCGGTACTGTATATTAGCTATAGACGATGGTTTGATGTTAGATGTTTTGCGAGAAATGCACCAAAGTTGCTAAACCTGTATTGATATTGTGATATGTATCTGTGTGTCTTTAAGTGATTATTTGAATTTGCCAAATAATTAAATGATTAACTACTTTTGCATTTAAGTCATATTCTATAGTTGTTCCCTAAGCCACGGTAATCAATAAATTTCTTTTTTGAACTGAAAAAAATGTGGTAAATGTAAATCTATAATATACCGTTATGGATCATATTTTAAAAAGTTTCAGCTTATTTCTAATCGGTTCTTAACCTCAAGTTTACTTTATAGGCTATATTTTGTGGTACCGAGTATTCACGAACAGCATGTACTTCATATGACGTTCGTTATGTATATCTTGGAACCTCTTGGTCATATTTTTGTTTTAAAGGTTTACATTTTGGTGGCGAAACCCACATGAATCCCTACATAAATTATTTTTCATTGAAATCGTGTAATACTAAGTCGTCTCTAGATATGCTCTATGAATACTGAAGCACTTAATAAACTATGAAACATGAGAAGTGTTTTTTTTTATATTTTATCTCCAAGTTCTTGTATTGTTGTAACTCTGTTTCCTCTAAAACCATTGGGACTTTTTTGTTGTATTCGAGGCTTACAAATACAATTATAAGGGTGTCCCGTAACTCTCTAGACACTTGTATATAGCGTTATTGCTTATGTCAAGACAAACACATTTCACCATAGGAACATGGGTCCGTGGTGTCTAGTTTACTGACTGTCGGTATTTATGTGTTTTTTACAAAAAAAATAATAACTCCTTAAAAGGACTCCGTAAAAAACACATAAATACCGACAGTCGGTAAACTAGACACCACAGACCCATGTTCCTATGGTGAAATGTGTTTGTCTTGACCTAAGGAATAACGCTATATACAAGTGTCCAGAGAGTTACGGGACACCCTTTATATCACTTTGAAACTTAATTAATAGAATCGGTAAAAAACGACAGTATGGTCTTATGCAAGACTTCAGGACATGCCTCCCTTATTGCTTCTTTGGGATTTTTTTCTTTCTGTTATATACTTAATTGTTATCTGTAGTCTATTGTACGAATCGTAATTAATGTTTAACCAAGTTAGACTCATGTATATAAGTGTATAAATAATTATAGGTGTAGTTTTGTATTTTTGTTCAGGAAAAGTGTGAAAGTTTTTATGATACAGATTTAAAAGATTAATTTTTATTTACTTTAAAATAAACCGTTTCATAAAAGGTTTTTAAACAAAACACATAATTTTGCACAACTTATAGCCAGCAAGATAAACCAATTCTCTGGTTATGTTTTTTATTCAAGTTTCCACTTCTGAAGTGTTTTTTTTTTATTGCAGATAATGGGGTTTGGTCATTTTTTACATGATATTATTTATCTTTTGTATCGAAGTTTGTCATACATAGTTATTTTATAGCTACCTTCAGTAGTATATGTTGCTATTTTAAGAAAATGTATTTTTTATATAAGATAATAAAATATAAAATAATAAACATTAATGTTAAGACGAAGTATGTGGCTTGCAACTATCCATTGTTATGTTCAAAACTAAGTACTGTAGTTTGAATATAATATTATTTTTTTATCTGTTTAAAACAATTAATACAAAAATGAATATCAAATATTAATATAAAAATTCAATGGCTGTCTAATTGATAAATGTGTAATTATATTTTTATCATAATGAAGTAATATTCATGTTTTTCTGGCTAAATATATTCAACATTAAGTTCCTACGGTTCAATAAATTAAGTTATAGACAAATATGGAAGAATAGTTTATTTTAGGATATTTAAATGCATGAAAAAAATTATCTGGATACCTTCTTCAGCACAGTCTATTAAAGTTGTGATTGTGCTCATTTAACAACAAACCCACTATGTGGTATCATTTAAAGTGGTACTTAATTATGTTCAATAAAAATATTTAAAAAAAAACATACCGTCTCTATAACTGATAAAACCTTTTAATTATTTGAAAAAATTGATAATTCTAAGCACTGTACAGGTTTGAAATAACCTTGGATGATAAGATTGGTTTTCTTTAAACATTTTAAGTTACTATAACATATCTTATTTCATGCAAACCAAATAATAAACAAAAGTTCCATACAAAATAACTTCAAAAGCATTATTATATTTTAAATATCCAAGAAACTATAAAAACTGGGACATAATTTCATTTCATTTTTCCTTCATTTATTCACTAAACGGAATACCCAATACAGTGAAAGTACATTGTTGTGCATGCTAACAGTAACAAATCAACTATAGATCAAGAGTAAATATATTGTTGCGGGCTTAACAGGTTCTTTACAATAAAAACTTGGCGATTTTATAATAACTAATTGTTGTATACGCAGACCACAATTTCGATGCCAGTGTCCTTAAAGAATTCCTGCACCATATTTCTTACAATCCTCCATTCCAATCCGTCATAACCACATCCCAGCCTGGGAATAGCAAGCTTTTTGATTCCAATCCGAAGGAGCTTGTCACGCAGGTCTAGCAGGCTTTTCTCCAACGATTTGTAGGAAGGCTTCTTGTTTGAAGTTTCCTTCGTTACGAGGTAGAACAAATACTGTCCGTTGTGCTTCAGGTGAAGGGTTGTGCCAATGGCGGGGCTCTGACGCTCAAGATCTTCGGTCCCCCTAAACTTTTTCCTGAAGGGCTATACATCGCGACGCTCTCAGGTATATTCCACTGGTAAGGTGATGATGTCCTTGTATATCAGCCTCGGTCCTTCGTTTCCACGTCTCTCAGGCACGACGTCTCTTGGCTCGGTTGAGAGGTTCCGAACTTGTTGTTCCTCTTGTTTGCCGTGATCTCCTTTGTAGGGTGAAAGCCTGTTGAAATGGACTATTTTGGGTTTGCTGTTTGGTTGCCTATTAATCCGGTAGATGACGTCATTTAGACGGGAAATGACTTTACAGGGTCCTTCCCATGAGTTCTGGAGTTTTGGCGAATATCCGCGACACCTTCGCAGATTGGAGGTCTCCAAGTGTGAACCCTCCTTTCTCGGCCTTCACGTCGTACTCCCCTTCATTGTGTCACTTGCTCCAGATATGTTGTGACGAACTTTCTCATGTTTTCTCATGTATCTCGTCCATCCTCTTCCGCAGATTGGATACGAAGTCCTCGTCAACCACACATTCATCTGGTTTCAAACCATACTGCAGGTCGCATGGAAGACGGAGCTCTCGGCCGAAAACTACGTTGGCTGGAGTCTGGCCGGTGGTTTCGTTGACAGAACTCCTATACGCAAGTAGGAACAGGTGCAGGTATTGGTCCCAGTCCTGCTGATGTTCGGAGACAACTTTTGACAGATATCTTTCCATCGTCCTGTTCATGCGTTTGGCCATGCCATCTGACTGTGGATGAAGAGGTGTTGTTCGAGTCTTCCGGATACCAAGAACTTCACACATTCTAAAGAATACCGCTAACTCAAAATTTCTTCCTTGGTCAGAATGAAGTTCGAGCGGGACGCCAAATCTGCTCACCAATTCTTTGATTAATATATCTGCAACTGTTACCGCTTCCTGGTTAGGCAATGCATAGGCCTCTACCCATTTGCTGAAGTAATCCATTGCAACCAAAATAAATCTATTTCCAGAATCGGACATGGGGAACGGTCCTGCTACGTCAATGGTGATGCGCTCAAACGGGGTACCTAAGTTGTATTTTCTCATTGGGGCTTTTCGTTTGTTAACAGGGCTATTTGAAGTTGCGCAGGTCGCACACCTCCTGCACCAGTCTATAACGTCATATTTCTGATTAGCCCAGAAGAAGCGCCCCCTTACTTTCACCAGTGTACGATGTACCCCTAGATGGCCTCCAGAAATTCCACCGTGCACTTCCCTTAGCACTTCAGGAACCCTCTTCCTTGGAATAATTAGTTGGAGTTTTTGGTACCCTCCTTCCTCTGATTCGACGACTCGCTTCAAAACTCCTTCTTCCATTAAAATCGAGTTCCACTGCGCCCAGTAGGTTTTGGCGTTCTTAGGCAATGGAGCAATATCCTGCCACGATGGTCTTCCTTTATTGTCCATCTTCCACTGCATAACTTGTCTTAGGTCTGGGTCTTCCTTCTGGTCCTCTGACAGATTCTTACTGTCCCATTCGTCGTCAACGGTGGTCACGCGATGAACCGATGCACTTTTGTCTTCCTTACTTGTGCAGTGCACGCAGTTGTCCCCGCACGTTCTTCTAGATAGTGCATCTGCATTCCTGTGGCTCGGTCCCGCACGATGGATTGATTCGATGTCATACTCCTGTGACCTTTCTAACCATCTTGCAACCTGTCCTTCAGGAGACTTTAATCTTAGCAACCACATCAGTGCGGCATGGTCCGTTCTCAAGAGAAACCTTCTTCCATACAGATACTTATGAAAGTGTTCTATGGACTTAAAAACTGCGAGAAGCTCCCTCCTGGTGACACAGCACAGTGAATTGTCAAAGTCCTGTCCCAATAGAGAACGCTGTCTTCTCATTGTCTTCAGGAGCGAGCCCGACCTGCCAGTTGCCACTTCTGAGATCTAAAGTTGAGAATATTTTACATCCTCCCAGAGTGTCGAGTGTGTCATCAATCCTGAATAGAGGGTAACTGCCTTTATGGTGACATTGTTTTGAAGTCGGTAGTCTACGCAAAATCTTGTTGAGCCGTCTTTCTTTTTCACAAGTACCATAGGTGACACCCAAGGGCTGCTAGAAGGCTCGATGACACCATCCGCTTCTATCTCCCTTATGATTTTCTCGGCTTCGTCACGTTTTGCCAGTGGGAGTCGTCTAGGAGTCTGGCGTATGGGGTTTGCATCTCCGGTGTCTATCTTGTGCTGTACTATATTTGTTCTTCTGGCTTTATTAAGTATTTTTAAGAAATGTATAGTAGTTATTTGTACTGAATTTTATTCTATTTCAGAATATCACATCCACTTTGGTCGATTTCCCCTCCATTTAAAAGCTATTGGCAATAAGCTTAGTGATCTCCAAATTTATAGTGGTGAGAAAATACTGAATTAGATATATTTCTTTTAAACTTTGTAAAACTAAATCTAGACATCTCCTGGACCGATTTTGTTACTTAATGGATCGTTTGTTAATTTGCGTATATTTGCAAATAACTATGAAAGTTTGATTGTATTACATACTAGCTGTAACCCGCGGGCTTTGCCCCGTTTAACTTCTTAATTTTCAAGATGATCTCGTTCGCATGGCTCAATCACGTCCTGGTTGAAGTTCGTTCGCTACGCTCACTCACCTTTAGGTAGGAGCTCGTTCGCTACGCTCACTCACCTTTACGTTGGAGCTCGTTCGCTACGCTAACTCGCCTCCAGGTTGAAGTTCGTTCGCTACGCTCATTCACCTTTTGGTTGCAAATAAGCTGTTGTCAAAAATTTAAAAAAATTACAGGTCTGCACCCTGTTGTAACTTGTAACTTTAATGCTATTGAACATCATAGAACAGAACCAACTTGTTTAATTGAAACAGCTGTTAAGATTCATTAATTCCATTTCTCATAAGGTTAACATGGGAAACTCCAGAGCCACTGGGGCGGAGCCCAGAGGTCGGAGGGTAAAATCCTTTCTTAGTGAGCGTCTACTACCCAAAAGGAAGATGCCTGCCAAGTTTCAGGTTCCTAGGTCTTATGGTTTCTGAGATTTCGTGATGAGTGAGTGAATGAATGAGTCAGTGGTATTTGAGCTTTATTGAGCGGAGCGAGCGAAGCTCTTTGAGATCGGACCTTATGCAAACTATGTAATCAATTAACTCAATAACGACTGAACATATTGAATCCAAACTTACCTGGGGTATTTCGACAAATATTTTTTATTTTTCGAAACAAACAAATTTCAATTTGATGATACCTGTACAATTTAAGACTGGCATAAATTTTGCAATGTTTAACATGAGTCTTATGAGTTGCCATGATGGTTACGAGATAACAACGTAGATGTAAACAAAGAATCTTAGCGTATGCGACTCGACATTCTGTACCCACGGGCACCTCAGCTTGCACATGCACATCACAATATATGGCCTATTAACAAAAGACAGTACAAAAGAAAAGGAGTCCGATGAATACCATTAAGCGTTGATTAACAATACACCGATTCGCATAATTTCTGGCGGCCTTACTGAATTATTCCAAGCAGATTATTTCTTTTAATTGTTGTTATTCTTTTTGTGATAAATATTAGTCCGGAGTGTGGTAACTGTTTATGACGATTTGATTAAGGTATCTGTTATCCTAAAATGCTATGGGAAGGGAGGGAAACAGGTCCGCGACGTAGGAAGTCGTGAAGGAAGCAGTAAAGGTGAGCGGTCCGGAATGTGGGAACTGTTTATGACGATTAGATTAAGGTATATGCAATCCTAAAAAGCAATGGGAAGGGAGGGAAACTGGTCCGCGACGTAGGAAATGGTGAAGGAAGTAGTAAAGGTGAGTAGTCCGGAGTGTGGGTAATGTTTATGACGATTAGATTAAGGTATCTACAATCCTAAAATGCTATGGGAAGGGAGGAAAACAGGTCCGCGGCGTAGGAAGTGGTGAAGGAAGTAGTAAAGGCGAGTAGTCCGGAGTGTGGGAACTATTAATGACGATTAGGTTAAGGTATCTGTTATCCTAAAATGCTATGGGAAGGGAGGAAAACAGGTCCGCGGCGTAGGAAGTGGCGAAGGAAGTAGTAAAGGCGAGTAGTCCGGACTGTGGGAACGATTAATGACGATTAGATTAAGGTATCTGTTATCCTAAAATGCAATGGGAAGGGAGGGAAACAGGTCCGCGACGTAGGAAGTAGTGAAGGACGCAGTAAATAGAAGTCCACTTTAACTAAGGCGTGTAAATAATTGGTTAGGCTTGTACAGTTACGATTACGATGCGTAGGCCTAATGCCTAGACTGCTAGGCCTATACAGAAGTTCAGTTATAGCTATTTATTATA